GGAAACAGACAGTCTTAGAGTAAATTTGCATAAGGGAGAACCATTAGGTAATATCTTTCAAACTGAAGAAGGCACATACCATTGGCCCAGCAATTCTGCTTCTAAGTAACAATCCTATATTTATATATATGAAAAATGACTTCTATAGGAGGATATTCTTTATAGCATTGTTTGTATTAGCAAAATACCTATAGGAAATTAGGTATTTAAATTATCGATTTAAATATGTATTAATATGGAAAAATCTTGCAGATACACATTTTAAGTTAAAAGAAGGTGCTGAATAGATAGATCAATATAGTAGATAGATATAGACAGAAGGATGGATGGATAGATATTGTACATGTTGATAAGTGCACAGACTGTATCAGGAAAATACCAAGAATGTGACCAGGTGGCAATGAAGGGGTGTGAGAGAAAATTGTTTTGGACTGTGTCAACGACTTCTAATGAATATCAGAAACACACCCATGGTTGAACAAAGTTTGTTTTAACAACTCTTAGCAAGGAGGAAAAATACACACCAGAGCAGAACTGGGGTGTCTTAGCAAAAGAACGTAAGGAAAGATTTATAAGATTTGGGTGTGTGTCAAGTGGTTTTAAGGAGGGCTCAAAGAAATGTGGATCTGCCCCAGATTGGATGCGCTAAGGATGTGGGTGTAATTCTATGGCTACTATCTTAGTAATTCTTTTCTAGAAGGCAAGAAGAACAGAGCAAGGTTAAAGCTGTGTTTGGTAAAGAAGTAGCAGCCACTCATATAATCTAGGACAGAGACATATTTGGTCATTTGTAGTTTAGGAAACATTTTTGTTTTTGTCTGTGGTCAGACATGATTACAAAGTTTGCTTTTATCTTGACCCATCATGTCTCAGTGGCTTTGTCTAATTTCAAATGTTGAGAAGTTGTCTATATTCAACAGAAGGAGACCAAGTCTTCTTGGGAGTGCCAAGCCACCTTCTGGCTCTCAGAGACTGTTTTGCTATTTCTCAACTACACGCCCTTTTGTGCCTTTGCAATTTTGTACCATGCACTTATCTATTTAAAATAATTTTTAAAAGAACATCAGGACTAAAGGAGACCTTAATAGTCACTGAGTTCTGAAACCATAACCCCGCCACCACCACTTTGCTTCCTCCTCCCGCACCAAGGGGGTTTTCTTATAAACCCCTCCCTTTGCCTCAAGTGCCACAAGGGCATCTGCTTGAGTATCTCCAGTCTCACCATTGTACTAACTTGTCAGGCAGCCCATTCCATAGTCAAATAGCTCTCAATATTTTATTGTTCAGAGGTAAAGAGAACAATACATTTGGTTATAATATCGTCATTGTTTCCTCCCTAGCATTTTTTGACCTCTTGTTCTATGGTAACTCAGGAAACAAAATAATTAGCTTTTTAATTTTATGTAAAATATTCCTATTAATACCCTCCAAACTGCCATTGTCTTTTTTTGTTCTAGTGTTCCAACACAGTTTTGCATTTTTTATCATTACATTTGCAGAGATTACTATCTGTTACTGCCGACAAATCCATTTGTGTTTTGTACTCAATCACATATAATTAGTCTTTTCTTCATGAACAAAAGAACAGGTGTCTTTATCAATTCCGTGCAAGATACTATGGTAAGGTTGGTTAGACCTAATGATGTCTAGTGAACCAAACAACACATTTCTGACAGATGTTCATAGTAACAAGATTCTTTTTTCAAACAATCAACTGCTTCTACTCCTACACACACAAAGTAGAGAAAGAAAAGACATTTTAACAACTTAGAGGCTTATAATTTTTCTATAAAAGACATGAGTAGAATTTAAATCCTTCTCTGATATTTTTGCTTCTAACCCCCACTCTGACAAAGTAAGTGTAAAATTATTTGTTTTTATTTGATATTCGTCATTAAAATATATGGGGAGAGGGTCAGAAGAAAGCACATTAGTTGAAAAGCTGGTCAAATTTTAATAAAAGCTGTAGCTCTCTGTAAATTTCCTGATGTTGATCATTATGTTGTTATATAAAATGGTACCATTAGGGGAAGCTGGGTAAAAAGTGGAACTCACTTTTATTACTTCGTAATTTTTCTGAAGTCTTAAATGATTTTTTTAAGTTAAAAAATATGTGGTTAACAGTATTTTAGCCAATGACATATACAAACTTTTGTACATATGGATAGAGACATTCATTCATGTAGTCATTCGTTCACTCACTTTGTATTGAGTGCCAACAATGTATTGGAGACCATTCATTCTAGGTTCTAATGATGCATAAGGCATCAATCAAAATCTTTTCACTAATGGAACATCCATTCTTCTGGAAAAGAAGATCAAAAATAAATAAACAGCAACAATATGTATTTCAAAAAGCGGTGTATGCAAATAGAGAGTTCCAAGGTGAGAAGTGTAATTTTTAAGGGAGTGTTAAGGAAGGCATCTTCAACATTTATAAGATAGATGTTAGCAGCACTATTTGTAGTGGTCTTAAAATAGAAACAATAATTATACACTAAAAGGAAAGTGAATAAATATGTCTGTCTACATTCATACAGAGGAATATTTTACAAAAATTGAAAGAAATAAAGCAAATATATTATCAAATACAAACCTCACAACCATAATATTGGGAATTAGAGTACACAGAATATATTTATAATATTCTAACATAAAATATTTTAAAATATGCAAAACAATATTAACTAATTTTTTTTCTTAAATTGCATGTATATGAGATATACAGAATTCCAGGGAGTTATTCTATCTGATAATGAAGGAAAGCAATATTCCATCAGGGATATCACAACAAGGAGGTTCAAATATATTGATATTTTTAATTAATTTTAAAGCTAGTGCTAAGTATCCAGATAAACTTGTGTTAATTTTTATATTTTGTACACCTAATTTTAAAAACAATTTATTAAAAAGTACGTGCAGTAGTTTATCTTAATAAAATATTAGTTTAAATTTATGAGTTTGGAGAATTTTTTAAAGTACATATTTGACACAATGTATGCTCTCTGGTGTGTGTGTGTATGTGTGTGTTTGTGTGTGGTATACATAATGACATTATGCTAAGATATATATGCATGGAGGAAGGTACAAATGTATACCTAGGTGCAAACTTACACTAGCAGTTGACCCAGCATCAGCAGAGCAAGCATTGTCAATTATTTTCCTAGAAAGAGTGAAGTAAAGATTTGTCCTAGTTTGACCCCACACTTGCACTTCTACCCTTCTGTCTCTCTGCCCCATGATAAATGTCATGCATTTGCAAAATAGTTGGCTGGGTTAAGGTAGCATTTTGTAGAATAAATATGGCTAATTGGTTTCTTGGGGATTGATTGATTCTATCTTCATCAATTTATAATTTTTCAATTTTTTAAAAAGTTAGATAGATGGTGCTGACAGGGATGTTGATATATCATCATCATCTCCAGTCATCTCATTTTATAGAAAAAAAAAAACAACCCTGAGAACTGGTAATATCTTGGACTTAATGCAGATAAGTGACACAACTAAGTGGTTCCCTGACTACTTCATCTGTATTTGTAGCCTCACTAAATCTACATTCATGTACAGATGTAATAAGCGAGAATATATGGAGAGAAAGTATCCTGATTCTTCTCTACTTAATTGAAAGCTTTAATCATTTAAAAAATGCTTTCACAGAAACACAAACTGACAATTCAAACCAAAATCGGCCAATCAACAACTAAAAAAAAAAAAAAAAAAAAAAAAAAAAAAAAAACCGAGAGCAAGAAAGCTGAAATGAAATTCTTTATAATAAGGTCTTTTCTTTATTGTAAATCACATTTTATATGTGTAATATTAATTGCACAGATAATAATTTAGAAAGGGAGGACAAGAGCATTTTCATTCATTAGGTATTTTGAAGTTTTCTTCAAATATTTCATATCAATTTAAAAGACATTTCACTATAAAATATCTGGCTTCCTAAATTACTTTATGCAGTTTGGTAGATTATTAGCCTGATCACAAGATGACATTCATCAGAATCACAACTTGTTTGGACAGATATCAGTGAGCATTTATTGTGTGCTCAACGCTAAAGATCTAGCAGTGAAGACAGACAAGTGTTAGAAAAACAATATGGCATTGTACATAATTTTAGAATGACATAAATTTACCTTCAGTTATCCATATATGATTATGCAAAATTTGAAAAATACAAGAACTAACATTCTTGCTTCTGGAGCTTGTATTTGAAATTTTTATAGACTGCAAATTCATTTTGTCATACCTTGAGGATTGCACTTAGTTTTTGAACTTGTCAACTCTACAGTTAGATTACTTAAAAACTATTTCCAGAGATAGTGTTATTAATCTTTGAATGCTCAGCATTTTCATTTCCCCCAAAAAACTGTTTAATTCCATTTCAGGTCTATTAGTGTTCATTATCTTTTTATATCATATATTTATTATATATACTATATATATTCATAATATTCAAATATAATTTTCTTTTAAAATCAGCAATTTTGTCTTTAACTAACATAAAATAACATATATATGTTATTTATACCTATATATATGTGTATATGCTCAGTGTTTAACAGGTAATTTTTGTCTGTCAGAAATTGTGTTCTAAGAAATATATAACTTGTTCATTATTGAACTATAACTTGTTCATCACTTGGTTCTGGGATTTAAATACCATCTTGTGTTGGAAGATATGCTTGTATTGTTCCTATGAGTGTTTATCATCATCTTGCCAAAAAACACTGTGATGGGAGTATATTCTTGCCCACTGACCAAATGGAATACCTTTAAGTCTCTTATCTTCTCTTAAGTGCATACCCTCTCTCATAAACTGTATCTTTGCTGTAGGAAATCATTGCAAGTAGGATAAAGAAAAAGACCCTAGCTTATTCATAGTTAAATAATTTGAAAGGCATAGTTTGGTAAGGCAGCTTAGCAATGCTTTAAGTATAAGATACACTGGGCCATACATTTGATTTGTAATCAGATTGTAAGAAGCGAATGTTTCTTACTGTAGTCGCTGTTTTCGTCCTTGGTCCCATCAATGGTACCATCTGGGTGCATCTGCAGGAAATATCCCTGCTGGCTGAATAACCTTGTCACGATCCCTTTCAGCTGGGGTTCTGCAAAACAAAATAATTATTCAAATTTTTATTTGGCTTATAAAAATGCACACTTACAAATTGTTAAAAAAAATCCTGTAAGTAAATACATAAATGCCAATAGCTTCAATATTGAATTACGTGTTTGGGAATTGAGTATTTCAGCAACATTATCTATGCTTTTTTCCATCGAGAGGTAAAGCCATAACACTTTTAGCAGTAAACTAAATGCAAATAAATAAAGGCTAATTATGATTAGGAAAACACAGAGACACACTAAAAAGTGAATTATTTTGCTCCCTTGTGCATCTGGTGTCTGACTACAAGATTTTACCAAGTTTATGGTCCCATTCCAGAATTATTGTTTAGGCCAAAAAGCCTCTGTAATTACTAAAGTTTCTAGCAGTCATAATCAGGTCCATAAGATTTCTATTTCTGTAGGATGTCAGCTGTCCATCAGAAGCTCCTGGGTTTTGAATTTGTAATCAAGTTCAACCAGAGAGAATAGTTTGGATGAGAACCACAGGCAATAGCAAAACTCCCGTGGCCATGAGATGTCACTGGGAAATATGTGAAAATGCAAATTTCACCTTCACTAAATACTTCACCAGAGAGGAGCCTCAGTATTCCAAAGGTCATTTCTCTAGTACAAAAAAAAAAAAAAAAAAAAAAAAAGTCAAGTCATACATATTTCTCTAAGTATTTCAGCCAGGATTGCTCAACTTTTAAAAACTCTCTAAACACAAATACCTTCAAACTAACCTTTGTATAACACATTTGAATTTTTCTGCATCAGCTAATATAAATATATAAAGCTTTCTCATTGCAGTGCAGACTGCCAGCAACAATCTAGTTTTCACCGCATCACCATTTTTGTCTCTATTGTTGAGCAAAAATGAATTATTCTAGTGCACTTATAGCTCTAATTATTTCATTAAAATGAGGAGAAAAAGATAAATGCTGCTTCCGGTGATAAAAATTGAGGCAAAGATGGAAATCGTATGATTGCTAACGTAGCAACATGGTATCCTCAGAAGGACAATTGCTGAATTTAAGCTAGTCAACTTCATCTTCCCTCCATTTATTCAACTAATGTTTACCAAGACTGTCTTTTTTTGGCCAAACAATACGGTAGGCACTGTGTGTTACACTGAATACATGTATTGATGTTTATGTCTAAAGGAGAATTCTAGTTAAGCATTTAATGTGATTATTTCCTTGGGAATTGGCCTACACACTCTAACAAGTGTCTACAGTTGGGACTTTTGCACATGTGACTTGATCACATTCACATTATTTGGGAATATGGGGAAATGCCTCTGTTAACACACCTTTTTCAAAGCAGTCCTAAGAAGCAAAAGAGACGTCAAGAAAATCAGGAATGAGGGAGCAGGCTAATGAAAAAAGAACTGAACTGGAAATTAGGCATTCTAATTAATAGGTTTGTACTGTCCTTATGAGTTAAAAAAAATTCATTTTTTTTAAGACAGAGTCTCACTCTGTTGCCCAGGCTGGAATGCAGGGGCACAATCTCGGCTCCCTGCAACCACCGCCTCCCGGGTTCAAGCGATTCTCCTGTTTCAGCCTCCTGAGTAGCTGGGATTACAGGTGCACGCCACCACAACTAGCTAATTTTTGTATTTTTAGTAGAGAAGGGATTCACCATGTTGGTCAGGCTGGTCTCGAACTCCTGACCTCGTGATCTGCCCGCTTTGGCCTCCCAAAGTGCTAGGATTACAGGTGTGAACCTTCGTGCCCTGCCAATAAATTCAATTTTTTTAAATTTGTGGGTCTCAATATCCTCATCAATAAAAATCTGGAAGTTAAACTGAATGATTGTTCCCTCATATGAGTCTCTATTCACTTTAAGCATATTAGAATCCTCTGCCTTGAGTGGTGGCAGAAATAGAAGAATGGATTTGTCTTTAATGCGTACTCTCCATAGGCTCATCCAATCCCACAACTATGGACAAGTCAGGGAAATACATGACTAACTAACGTCACTGCAAACAACTCTCTGTGTGCCTCTGCCTTTGGCTACCTGGCTGACAGGTAGCTTCTGATGTGGTAGAATCACCCACGGATTTGAACCACAAATGCTGTATGGCCCTGAGCAACTCATCTAACATCTGAATTTCAAGTTTTTTTTAATCTATATAGTAAGATAAAACACAGTCCTACCCTAACTATGATTATTGCAAATTTCACATGAATGATGAGAGAGTATGAACTAGAAAACCCATAAAATATACATCCTAATCAAAGTCTAATGTTTCAACTATGAAAATCAAGGACGTGGTATAAGGGAGGTAAAAGAAGAATTCTGAGAAAAGAATATGTTTACTCTAGCTTGTGCTTTAGTGAAATATTAACTGAGCTTGTAAAAGCCACTAAAGTAAACAGTGGGCTAAAAGGAGAGGATAGAAAATGATAGAAGAGAGCAAAAGGGTAACTGTCTTACAAGTCATATTTTACTTCTAATCAGCTTGAAAGTCACTTTAAGAAGTCATGGTTTTATTGGTAATGAGAGGCATGACAGCTTAGTCATTAGTGCCTGTAAATGACTGTTTGTTTCCTTCGTGCTCCTCTTTCTGTACCTGTAATTAAACACTTCTTTTGCCTTGGTGGAGCCATCCCTCTGTTGGAGCCCTGGGGATTCGGGTTGGTAACTCATGCTCAGGATAATGAGCATCAGACTCTGAGCACCCACCTCTGACAGTAGTACCACAACAGGCCCAAGAGTCTGTGTTTTAATTATGTTGTGATATGTGAAAATGAACATCCTGCATTATAGGAGTTTCAAGGAGACTTGACCATCTATTGAAAAAAAATACCCTGAACATAGATGTGTTACAGAAAGCCGTGTAGCCTGACTGGCATTTTACACATCTATTACCATCAAGTCCTACCAACCTTTCCAAGTTCAGCTCAACATCACCTCCTCCATGAAGGCTTGGCTATCATAAGTGAGGATCTCCTTTATAATGGGGAAAACCAGAACATGTTTTGCTCTATTTTAAAGAAAGGAGGTACAAAGTGAGACCACTTTTCAGCACATCCAGCATGCTGGGTACATTCAACTAACACACATTTATTTGTTAGACTATGCTCGGGGACCCAAGATGTGAATAAAATATTTGCTGTCCTCAGGGAGCACCCAGTCTGATTCACGAAACATATTTATGTATAATACTAGTGTGGGAGAGCTGATAAATGAGGAAGTGAAGCACAGTGGTGTGATGGCACCAAGGAGCAAGGGACCAGTTCTGTCTGAAGGTTGGGATGAGGCACTTCATTGTGTGGAATGTCCTTCCTCTGATTTCCTTGCCTATGACAATCCTATGCTGGAATAGGTAGGATTCCATTCCAGTGTAGGATTGTCATAGGCAAGGAAACCAGAGGAAGGACATTCCACACAAAACATGGCAACTCTAGGAATGAGGCAGAGTCTGATTAAGACAGAATAAAGAAAAAGCGTTCTCAAGTGCAGACACACAAGTAAGTGCCTGTTCTCAACAAACGTTCATAGCACAACAGTGACACTAAGACAAATAGGGTCAATGGAATAAGTTTTCCATGAAGCTTTTTTTTTTCTCAGTTTATATGACTCCTGGATTTTAAAATTATGCTCTTCCATTACTATTTTTCTTTTTTTAATGAAATGATGGCTATATTATTAGATGGTGGGGAGGAAGGGTTGGTTTGTTCCCTTTTGTGCTCTAAAGTGGTGTGGCAAATACTGCTAACATTTCGGTGAAATCCATTTCCTCTTTTTTCTGGGCACCCAGCTAGACCATATGTCCTAGCCTCCCTTGCAGTTAGGTTTGGCAGATGAATGAGTGTCATATGGAATGTAAGTGGAAGTGATGTGTGCCATTTTCAGGCCAAGGTTTTTTAAAAGCAAACATTCTCCTCCACATTCTCTTTTCCTTAACACCGGCCAGATTAAGATAACATAGCCCTAGGGGCTACTGAAGCAACAGAATGGAAGAATGTTGGGTCCCTGAATAACAGGTAAAGAAAAGATGACAGCCATTGAAATAGCTACCTTGGACAGTGAAATGAATAAGAAATAAATTTCCATTGGCTTTGCACAATGTGCTTTGAACTTCCTTCCAAAAAATACAATATGGAAAGGGAAGGAGTGAGTAATATTATGGTAGAGAAACCTAACAAACAAAGCACTATCTCAGTCAGGTGATCAAGGTTAATATCGACAATTATAAAACATGCTGATATTATGTACTCTTGAGATTATGTGATGAGCATAGCACTTTACCTCTGTGATCTTTCTCAAAAAAACCCACGACCTCAGTCTAATCATGAAAAAAAAATAGACAAATGCCAATTAAAGAATATTCTACAAAATACTTGACCATTACTCCTCAAAATGGATTGTTCATAACACAAAGAAGCGATAAATGCTTGAGGTGACAGATAATCTATTTGCCATGATGTGATTACTATGCATCATATGCCTGTATCAAAAAAACTCATGTTCTCTACAAATATATACGCCCACCATGTACCCATAAAAGTTAAAAATTAATTTTTTTAAAGAAAACCCTATCAATGTCACTGAAGAAAATGAGTGTCTAGGAAAAAGTCATAAATAAAAGGAGTCTAAAAAGACATGACAACTATATGTAATGGGGCATTCTGAATGAGATCCTAGAGCTGAAAAAGAAAAAATGAAGGAAAGCTGAATAAAGTATGGATTTTAGTTAAACATACTGTAATGATAGATTCTTAACTGTGACAAATGTCTCACACTAACGTAAGCTGTTACTATGGGAAATTGGATATAGGGTATATGGGAACTCTGTACTATCTTCGCATCCCCACAAATTTAAAAACATTCTAAAATAATAGGTTTATTAAAAATACTAAGTACAGCCAAAAAAGCAAGTAAGAAATGTTTTCCTCAAAGAGGCTGAATGATAAAGAACGTAAAGGATAGGTCCTCGAGTTCAATACCACTTCCCTTCAGGATGACATGGCAGTTTCAGCAGAAGGTTTGA